CCTGGGAGGGGCAGACAGAAGGAGCAGGTCTTACCAGACGCTGCCCAGCCTGTCTGAAGGACTCAGCCTCAGTGACAAGGCAGGTGTGGCCGGAGGCTGTTTCCATGTCAGTGGCAAGAGAAGGAAGACGCTTCTGAGACTGGGTACTTGGGCAGCATGTTCACTGTGGGTGTCATTCTTGCTGCTCTTGTGGAGGCCCATGCTGTAGGTTTTCTGGGAGGTTAGCCAGCCAGCTGTCACTAGCGTACATCTGAGTTTACTACTCTGGCTGTGACATTGCTCAGACTGACTACCATGGTAGTTAAGGCACAGTAAAATGATGCTGGGCTACTAAACGATGAACTTCCTTGCCACTGTTTCTTTCCCCTCCCTTCCTCCCCCTCCCTCCCTCTTTCCCTCCCTCCCTTCCTCCAGGAAGTCTCAGAACCTTGGGTAAACTGTTTAGAACCAGCTAAGTAAGGCACTGTGGAGCCTGCAGGGAGCCAGTGCTAGCAATTACAAGGGCAGTGTGGAAAGTGTGGCTTTCACTTTTCTCTCTTCTGGCTCACCTCCAGCTTATAGATAAGGGCACTGGCACCTTCATGCTGATGACAGGGACTGGGAACTACAGACCTTTTAATGAGGAATGAGGGCTCTGCAGCTCCCTCTGCAAAACCCTCATGAGTTCTGCAAGGTCAGCATCTTGTGTTCCAAGGACAAACAAACCTGTAGTTACCTGTGGAGGGTCATACACAGCATGATTGTATGTATAGGAGGAACATTCTGGAATTAGAGACAAAGACACAGGACCCAAGGACACCGGGGCAAGCTTGATTCTGACGGAGAGGATGGGCCCTTTGCTTGGGGGACAGAAAGGAAGGGGACAGGATGAGTTGTGGGTTATGTGCTGTGGTCTGCCGGCTCCTTGCTCTCTGCTCCCATCGCATGCTACAAATGGAGGAGGAAAGAGATGAGCAGGTGGCGAGTGGTCTGGAGTCCCCGCTTGGAATGAACGAATACAGGGATGTTACTTACTGAACTTGGAGAGTAGCTGAACTTACTCCCACACCAGCAAGCTAGACTGGCATGCCTGAGCGCCGCTTTGCTTAATGGACGTGAGCAGCAATGGGAGATTGCATGCTTCCCACAAACATTGTAGAACCCAGTCCAAGCACATTCATGGTGAAACGCTGTGCCTGGGTTTGTCCCGATCCAACTCTCGGCTTCTAAGTGAGGTATATAGCTTCCTGTGGGCCAGCGTTCTCTCTGATAACAAGTAGGAAACATTTGACTTTGGGGGGTCGATACTGGGGAACTGAACTTGTGAAGCAAGCACTGAGCTATAGCCCTGTTTCCATAAATATGATTTAAAGTTATCGAAAAGCTGTAGAATGATGAAGGCTAGAGAGACCAAAAGTCTAGAGAAATGGGACCACTCAGAGCCAAGATGGGCAGCCTCTCTCCTGCAAGCCGTTGCCAATTCTGGATAGAGGCTGACGGCTGGGGCTCGGCTCTGGCAGACACTGCTGGGGGAGGGGAATCAGCACTTAGCAGTGGCCAACGAGATGAAGCTGAAGAGTGAATGACTTAAAAATGGCCAACCCCCCTCCTCAGACAGTTTTTTAATGTACAGCGTTTAGAACCAAGTCCCCACCAAGATTTTACAATACACAAAATCATGAAAGCCCCAGACAGTACGGAATGGACACTGGGACACTAAGCTCCTACACACCCTGTCACCTGGACACCCTCTGACTAGGGACAGCTCTACACAGGCTGCACAAAGAGCTGGGTCCTCAGCAAGGCTGCTCCTGGTAGAGAAACCAGTGGAGATCTTGATGCTCACATTGCTTAAGTGGCAGCCAGGGAGACTTGAGTAACCCCAAACACGGCCAGTTTCCCCTTCACAGTTTGCTAGTGGGATGGTGGCACAGTGTATCGTCCCAGCCCTTGGTAGATAGAGACGGGCAGCAGGAGTTGAAGGTCATGCCCAGCAAGTCTGAAGCCAGGATAAGAGGACAGCCAGGTTGGGAAGATTCGGGTTTAATAGTCTACAAAAGCAAGCTGGAAACTTCTCACAGACGGTACTGATTCTCCACAGTCCCTGAGGGCAGAGGAGATTAAGACCTGCCCATCTCTCTGCCTTCAAGAGCCTGCCCTGGGGCTGGAGAGAGGGCTCAGTGGTTAACGGCACTGGATGCTCTCCCAGAGGACCCAGGTTCAATTTCCAGCACCCACATGGTGGCTCAAAAACCATCTGTAATTCCAGTTCTAGGGGGTCCAGCAAACTCTCTGGCTTCTGCATGAACCAGGCATGCCCATAATGCACAAACATACATGTAAGCAAAAAAAAAAAAAAGTCCAAAAACCAAAACAAACATAAAGAGCCTGCCCTGAGTCCAGGAGTGAACCAAAGGTAGACTGAGTCTCCTGGGAGCTGAAATCCAACCTGACCCAGTATAGCACTAAAATGAGGGGATTTTCTGTCTGCCTAATTCACCCAGCAGAGACAGGGCGCTTCCTCTGGCAGATGGTCATGTTCTATGTAGTCTTTGCAATTTCAGTATGAGACTTAAGAAAAAAAAAAGACTAGACCTGCAAAAAGGAGGGATCAAATGCCTGGAGTCAGGAGGGGAGGTCCACATAATGATAGATTCTGAGATGGCCCAGGTGTTGGTGTTTGCATCAAGGACTTTAAAATAAATACACCAATATATTGAGGAAGTAAAGGGGAAATGAACAAAACAGGAGAAGGGAAGGATACCTCAGGGTCTTAGATTATTGATTGACTGATCTTGATTGAGACAAGGTCTCATGAAGTAGACTCTAACTGGCCTGGAACTCAGTTTGTAGATCAGACTAGCCATAAACTCAGAGATCTTCCTGCTGGAATTACAGGTGTACGTCACCATGTCTAGTCTTGGACTGCACTTTTAAAATAAGATATGCTCGATTTTAAAAGTAACAGAGGCAGGGACGGTGGTGAATTTCAGAACTGTGGAGACTGCAGAAGGAGAAGCTACAGAGCAAAACTAGGTAACTAATTAAAACTCCTTCCCGCTTGGTTCACTCCCCACACACAAGGTGCTGAGTGGATAGCGTAACAGCAGATAGACCGTGTATCAACCAGCAAGATCAGTGAAGTGGAAAACAGATCAGTTAAAAATGCCCAGATTGGGGCCTGGAGAAATGGCTTAGTGTTAGGAACACAGTGCTCTTCCTCCAGACCTGTTTTCAATGCCCAGCATCCACACTTCAGGGCATCCAACACCCTTGACTTCCACGGGCACCTACACTCACAGGCACACCCTCTCCCCCAACAGTATACATACGGGGAAAAAAAGTGACTATTTAAAAAGATGCCCAAACTAAACCAGAGCGAACCAGGAATGAGAAGGGTGGTGTGTTTGGTCAGTGTGAAACATGTGACACACTTCTAAGGTAAGCTGTGGGGAGAGAGGCGATGCAGAAGCAGTCTGTGAAAAGGGTGGCTGGGAATTTTCCAAAGTTGATGCGTTCGTAGGTCAAAGAAGCTGAACTTATCCCTAAGCAGGATGAATAGGTCTTGCTCTTCAAATCAGCTAACCACTGCTTTGAGAGCAGTGCATCCCCATTAACCACTGCTTTGAGAGCAGTGCATCCCCATTAACCATTGCTTTGAGAGCAGTGCATCCCCATTAACCACTGCTTTGAGAGCAGTACATCCCCATTAACCACTGCTTTGAGAGCAGTGCATCCCCATTAACCACTGCTTTGAGAGCAGTGCATCCCCATTAACCATTGCTTTGAGAGCAGTGCATCCCCATTAACCACTGCTTTGAGAGCAGTGCATCCCCATTAACCACTGCTTTGAGAGCAGTGCATCCCCATTAACCATTGCTTTGAGAGCAGTGCATCCCCATTAACCATTGCTTTGAGAGCAGTACATCCCCATTAACCACTGCTTTGAGAGCAGTGCATCCCCATTAACCATTGCTTTGAGAGAAGTACATCCCCATTAACCACTGCTTTGAGAGCAGTGCATCCCCATTAACCATTGCTTTGAGAGCAGTACATTCATCATCCACGCTCGCTGCCTGTGGCCTTGAACAAGCCACTTGACTTTGTTGAACCTCAATTTCTCCTTCTTTAAAGATAAGATTAGATAACATATCTTATGAAGAATAGCTTAGAAATTGTTTCATTTTAAAGAAATATCTCAGTGTGACGCACTCTGGGAAAGCCTGTTAGGGGCAAGCCTGGGAGCTGTGTGTTACACTCCGGTTAGCTTTTAGCTACTGGCACTCAAGGAACCCCTAAGGATGTGGAAGGGACTGACCCAGGAGCCATCTGATACATGCTGCATTCATGCATTCATTTTCACTCACACATTGGACATTTACTACATGGCGGGCAATTCTGTTAACCAGAAATACAAATTAGAAACATAGGCTCCATGTGACCCTCCCTCCCAGGGTTTACGTGGTCTCTCCGATTCTTTCTCATTTGAGATCAAGGGGTGGTGGTAACAGCCAGCACACCTGTGCTGTCCCTCCCGGTCTCCCTGCGCACACCAGTATGGCTAGTCTATTTTTAATTAGCTCTCTACCTACTCCCCAGGTCAGAATCTTCTCCTTCCCCTCGGGAAGCAAAGCTCCCCCCCCGCTGCTGGTGGGAGCATTAACCGGTTTGGCTGGATTTCAAAAGGGAGGTGGGCGTGGTGTGTTGAGGGCGGTTCTTCTGGGAATGTAGCCTTTAAGGGAACTTTGGTACTTGGTATCTGCGGGGCAATAAAACATTAGTTTTGGAAACCATTCTTAGGAGAGATGTTTCCCTATCAGTAAAGTGAAAGATCCTATCTTAGACTCTTCTGTTGTCAAGTGTCTGAAATTACCTTCTGTCATGGTTGTGTTGCTTTGGTCAGAACAGTCCAGGAGCAGACACAACCGAACAGAGGAAGTGCCCTGTATCCATGGGCTGTGTCCGGAGAAAACGGTCCAGGGTAGAGTTAACACTCTCTCCCTCGGGTTGTCTCCCCGCAGGTGATTATAAACAGCACCATCACCCCAAACATGACTTTCACCAAAACCTCACAGAAGTTCGGCCAGTGGGCTGACAGCAGAGCCAACACGGTGTTCGGCTTGGGGTTCTCTTCAGAGCAGCAGCTCACGAAGGTATGTGCCCTCCCTCCTGACAGTACGACAAAGGTATGTGCCCTCCCTCCCCTCCCGGCAGTCCAACGCCAGTGGTTGGATGCCCTCTCTCCCTTGGCTGTGGCGCTGTGGCGCTGTGGGTGAGGAGGCGCCCCCTCTCAAACAGCAGACTTCTTGAAAACTGAGCAGTCTGTGGTGGAAAGGAAGTTCATCTCCAACAAATGCTGGAAGCCTGAGAAGCTCGACTGACCTGGTGGTTTTTTGGGCATCCATTTAGCCCCTTATCATTTCCTGGGGCTGAAAAACCTCTAGATCAGAGTCCAGAAACACAGAGCAAGAAGCAGGAGTGTTGAGTCAGGGACAGTTAGGATGTGAAAGTCCCCCAGGCTCATGCTGTTGGGAAGGCCTTGATGGAGGAAGTGTGTCACTAGGAGCCAGCCTTGAGATTTTATAGGTTGGCCTCACTTCCTGTCCACTCCTGGTGTGGCCAGCACTTTCCTCCCACTGCAATGCCTTCCCAGCCAAGATGACCCACGTCCCCTTTTAAGCTATGGCCCCTTCCTCTCTTCTGTCATTTCTTGAAGGGTGTTTGTTCACAGCAATGAAAAGAGTAACTAAGTTACTTGACACTGACTATTGGGATGGGAATCTCCTCTGCCCCATCCCACTCTGCTGGACTTGGGACTGTGACTCTGGAAGGTGGGATACCCCAGTAGGGACAAGCACAATGCCAGCAGAGCTCTGCTTGATGAAGCGTCCCAGGAACCCGAGACTCCTGGCCACCAGATTCCTGCTTCTCTGCATTTGAGAAGCTGTTGTCTCCACAGACTCCTGAGGTCTGCAGCAGCGTCAGGCGGTACATAAGGTGTAAGGGGCTGGGCTGGCCAGAGCATGGCCGTTTCCAAAATACGATCCCTAGTGAAGTAGCGGCCCGGTGTGGCCAGCTTCTCCAAGGAGTGAGCTGTTCACTGTGCTGCATGATGCTCATTACTGCATCCATTAATAGCTGGACACTCTGTGAGGTCAGAGGTCAGGGTGACTATGGATAGCAGGGATGTGTCTTGAGTAGGCCATGTGGCACCTTTTCCCCATAGGTCTTTTGATTCTGAGGAGGTTGTACCTGGGCACCCACAGAGTCCTTGCTGCCGCATGGCTCGAAAGATGGTCTTCTGAAGAGTGAGGGTTCCATGGAATATGACTGTTTGTAGGCTCTGGTTACACTTGAGTCCAGTAGCATTGCTAGTCCCAAGTCTGTCCCAAGTTAGTGACAAAATCATCCAACTCCATTTCTTCCCTTCCCGTACACCTCTGGCCTTGACCGTTTTCCAGTGTCCAGTGCCGATCTGAAGGCAGGCCACTTTCCTAGTGTACTTGGCTGGTATGGTGGTCCAAGGCATGCCCCCAGGGGAGTCACATTGCCATTCCCGCAGTAGGAAGCAGCAGTCACAGCTCCAGCACGGCCCTTCCATGTGTGCTGCAGAGGGAAGCTGCAGGCGCCTCACCGAGTCTGCTAGAAGCCAGCTTTTGGATGGCTTTGCAGGGCATGCTGGGATTTCTGGATTTTATTTTGTGACTGTAGAAGGATTTTAACCCCAAAAGTCAAATGATCAGATTTGCATTTCAGATATTCTTGAAGTGAGTCAGATTCATTTCAGGGGAGAACTGATGAAGATTTGAGTAAGAGATGGAGGACTTTAAAGAATTTTTTAAAATCGGAAGAACTTGGTCAGACAGGAGGGAGGCCAAGACTCTGGGATGATGATGGGTGGAAGATGGCACCATCGTCTTCTAAAACGGGGAGTGGAACAGGTGATGCTGACTGAGAGTGAGTGACCAGGACCTCTGTGTGAAGGGGAGCAGGGCTTCGTGTGTTTCCACCGCACAGAGCTGCCTGGTGGGGAGAGGAGATGCTGGGGATCCCCTCATCTTACCCAGCACTCACCCCCACAGCTTCCTCGTACCTTCAGGGAAGCATCAGCACTATCTGGGCCCATCTCAGAGCGTGCCTCTGCTTCTGACTGAGGCCAGAAGATCCTGGAGCTCAGGGTAGTCTGAGAGAACCACTCCCCCTTCCTGGTCCAGTGTCTTTCATTCTGTAGAGAACCCAGGTAGTGAGGACAGATAGAAGGGAAACACCAGTGGAAAAGGATCAAAAGGAAAACTCCAAATAAAAAGTAGGACAGAGTGTGAAAGTTCGGTTCTTCCTGCCTTGGAGAACCGAAGAGACCTTGACTGAACTACTTGCAGGACGAGTAGAATGTCCTATTATTAAGGAGGAGTGTCCCGGCTTCCTGGATCACTTGGTCTCTGGCAGCACTGGTGTCTCTGCTGTGACTGTGACCTGCCATCATCGCAGAGACTTCTGAAACAAGCTCTCAAATATTCCCTTTGTCCAGAATATTTCAAATCAGCTTTTCCTTTCTCTTTGAAGGGGATGGTTAACCACGCACTGATAAATTGCCATGAAGAGAGAGAGGCTAGCAGCCTGAACAATTGGCAATTACATCGCACAGAGGGAACCTGGGCCTGAGGGGTTCCTGAGGCTTGCATTCTGGAGCACAGCTGTGACTGAATATTCCTGACTTCTCAGCCCAGCCACCCACAGACCTACAGGGGATCAGTAATCAGATGTTGTGGGCTGGACAAAGAAACACCAGTGTGGACATTTTTCTCTTAAGAGTGCTTTATATGAACTTTTCTCTCCAAACCCCAGAAAGAAAATAGATCCCTGTCCTTAGCTCTCATGTAGAAGACCTGCCCGCCAGCCCACAGCCCAGGAAGTCCCGCACAGAACCTTTCTGCTCTTTAGACAGGCCTTCCAAAAATAATAAACTGTGTATCCCTGGAATGGAACTGAGATCCGTGTGTCCCCTGGAGAAGACACGATAATTCATTCAGCCTACTGAGGAATGTGGGAATGGGGTGTGCCTTCTCTGCTAAGATGAGGACATGGAAAGAGACAAAAGTAGAAGCAGGTAGAAGAGTGAGTCGGTCATTCACATTTAGTCTTTCTGTCCTCTGGCCTCACATGCCCACCATTCCGGGCTTGCTTCCTTCCTTCTCACTCTTGCAGACAGAGGAAGCATGTTCTTTCATTAGGGTGAACTGCCCAGAATAGAATCTTCACTGCTGAATGGTGGATGCATCTCAACTCACACGCCTGTGTGGCATTCTCTTTCAGCTTCAATACTTTAATTGGGGAGTGCTAACTATCTTAATTGTCATTGACACAATGGAGAATCACCTGAGAAGGATCTCACTGAGGGCTTGTATATGTTGGGTTGGCCTGTGGGCATGTCTGTAGGGGACTGTCTTTAATTAAGTAGTTGATGTGGGAAGACCCAGTCCACTGTGGGCAGCACCATTCCCTAGGCAGCAGGTCCTACACAGTGTAAGAGTGGGGGAAATTGAGCTGAGCACAAGCAAGTGAGCATTCACATCTCTCTGCTGTTGTCTGTGGATAGATCCAGGAATTTCAAGCTCCCAATGCTGTGACTTCCCCACAGTGATAGAATATAACATGAAATTGTGAGCTAGAATAAACCTATTCTCTCATAAATTACTTTTTTTTTTGTTTTTATGAGACAGGGTTTCTCTGTATTGTTTTGGAGGCTATCGGTCCAGCCCAGCCTTAAACTCACAGAGATCACCTGCCTCTGCCTCCCGAGTGCTGGGATTAAAGGAGTGTGCCACCACCGCCCTGCCCTTAATTTGCTTTTTGTCAGAGTATTTTAACCTCAGCAACAAAAAGAAAACTAGCACAATAAGATGTCTCCGTTGTTACAGGCGTCAGTCTAATGACCCCTGGGACCCACGTAGTGAAAGAAGAGAAATAACTCCAGAAAGCTGTCCTCTGACCTCCACATGCTTGTCATGGTATATGTGTACACACAATAAACGTGATAAAAATTTTAAATAAAATTAATCTATAACCCACACTCATATCTGCTGGCATTCCCATTAATTTAGTATAGTCGTAAGGGCATTCATTACCCAGCCTCCTGTCTCCCAATTGTCTGACTTAAAGGCCAATTTTATATCTTAGGGCTGTCAGACATTCTTCTAATATGTTTTAGTTAGAGTACTTCAAGTAACAGAAAAAAATAATCACAGTGCTTAAACTTATAAGATTAGCCTTATTATGTAAAGTCCCGAGGCAGGCTGTTGCTGGCACTGTTGTAGAATGGGTGTGGGTTCATGTGGGTCCGTGGAATGAAGGCAGAGGCGCTCTAGGGATGATTTTAGCCTTTCCAGCTACAGGGGGAACTCAGCCTCTTGCAGACTAAGAGGATCTCCCTTCGCCCAGGGCTTTTTTATTGTTATCCAATGTAAACCTTTAGCAAGTTCATTTCCATATCCCAAAACATCATATCTGAGTGTCTCAAAGGGGCAGTGTAAAACACAAGGAATACCACTGGTGTGCCGGGGAGTTTCCCCAACCAAGTTTGCATAGTCTTTGAACCCCTAGGAATCTCTCAGGTAAGACTTCAAACAGGAACAGGAGACAGGGTAGCATTTCACAAAAGGCAGATCAAAGCCAGGTGTAAACAGTCTGGAGTCAAACTATATGCAGGAATCTGTAGGGCCTCTTTCTGCATGGCATTTGAGTAAGAATGGTCCCCATAGGCTCATATTTAAATGCTTAGTCATCAGAGAGTGGCACTGTTTGAGAAGGATTAGGAGGTGTGGCCTTATTGGAGGAAGTAGTCACTGGGGGTGGGCTTTGAGGTTTCACACTCACACCAGGCCCAGCGTATCTTGCTCACTTTCTGTCTATGGATGAGGATAGAGCTCCCAGCTACTGCTCCAGAACCATGCATGCTGTCATGCCCACCACTGTGATGAAAATGTACTAACCCTCTGAAACTGTAAGCAAGTCCCCAATTAAACGCTTTCTTCCATGAATGACCTTGGTCATGGTGCTTCCTCCAGGGACAGAACAGTGACTGAGACACCCTGGTTCCATATGTTGGGTCTGAGTTTGCTGCCTTTTATTTTGTTTGTTTTACCTTTTGTCAGTC